CCTGCTATGTGGCACAATAAAACTCCTCATTATTATTCTTGATGATGGAGAGCCAGCTGTTGGTAGCTTGACTCTTACCCTCGAAGTCTGTGTACGGAGACCGTACATGAGGGAGATACGCCGCTATATACCAAAATATATCTCGTCTTCAGGTCGTTCCCCGGATAACCAACCGCTCATCGTTAGTCGGGAAAGTGGGACTGGAAAATACCTTCTCTGTATAGGTATAATGTCGTTGGAACGACCACTAAGAAGTTGGCAGTTGTGGCTGCCTGTACTCTTCAGGGCTGTCTTCCCTGGCTTACAACTGTAGTAATAAAATTCTCTGACGGCACCAGGACAGATTGTGGTACGGCCACATAACTCTGAAGTGTTGGAGCAGGATGTGCTCTGGCTAGACACGTCTCCTGGTATTCCACCAGAGACATTATTGGTTAAATTTCTTATTGATAGCACTCGTCAATCCTAGAGGTTCAGGGTGAAAGTAGACTTAGATCACTTGCCCATTGGAGAAGAGCGTCATCGGTAACCGGGGTACCCAGTTGCACGACTATCATCTACAGTCTTGATGCAGCTCGATGACCTGCCAGTAGACGATTGCACTAATACTCGCGACGCTCCAGCATATTATAACCACACTTATTTAATTATGTTGCAGGTAGCTTCGATTTTATGTCAACGCCACCTAGCGGATCCTACTGAACTAAAGTGAAATTTTTTTGCAAAACTCTGAGCTTATTTATTGCTATTGTTATTAAATTTTTCAAGATAAAAATCATGCTAAAACCATCTAGCAAGTGTCAAGAATCGGTATGCAAAATTTCAGCAAAATCGGTTCAGTAGTTTTCGCGGTTAGCGATTACAACGGTTTTAGCGACTTTGCTTTATATATTAGTAAGATAAGATAAGATACTTGCATTTCACAACATTGCGCTCGTTTGGTCTCAAATCTGATTTGCTGATTCTGGTAGCAAAAATATGCATATATTTAGAACAATCTTGTATCATTATATTATGCAAAATACTATGAATCTATGGTATACCTTTTACTCCTGTATATGTGTGCCACTATAAAGGTCAAACAAAATAAACTTTGTAGTGTTTCAGTTTCAGTAAATGAAAAAGGCCCCTAAACCCTTAGACTCCGATCCATCTAAACGAACCCTAAATCTGTTACTTAAATCTTTGACAGTTTTAAATTGTATAAAATTTGTTTCGACAAGATAAGTGGTCATATTATTATACAAAATGTTGTCTACCTTGATTCCGTTTTTTACAATTTTGATTTGTATCAGTTTTGACTAGATGTTTTTTCATTATACAGTTACTGAATTTTTATGAATTGAAAAAACGTTGAAAAATAACATAGATCATAGTTTTTATAAGATAACAATCTTTTTTTCCCATGAATAACAAGCGGCTAAATTTATGCAAAACACTATGTCTTGTATGTAAGGCACAACCAACGCACCAGGTACCATCAGAGAGAAAAGTTTTATTTAAATAATATGATTGAATTTTAATATTATTTCGTTATATCCAACTGAGTTTTAGTATCAATATGCTAACTTTAAAATTAAGCTAACAAACGCTTTTTCAGCCATTTTAAACCATTTTTCGATAATAAGCTAAGTATTATAACTACATTATGGATGAAGTTGGTCAACACAAAACATGTATTGTTAGAAGATCTATAACTTTTGTATTTAACATTTTGTTGTAGAATTTAAATTTGTTTTTATAACAGGAAAAAACGTCTTTTTCCTTTGTTTTCGAATATATTTTACATTATAGGGCGTCTGCATTACGATGCAGAGAAAAACTTATGCAAAAAAGTTGTATTTCAACAAGATCTGCCATGTCTCGTTGTATCTGTCTTGGAACGCCAAAGTGTAAAATATATGTGAAAAAAGCTATTGCAGAAAAACTGTTATTTTTTGTCTCAGAGCGCTGCATTAAAAATGCTGTCAAAATTTTTCCTTTCCTTTTAAAGAAATTTGTCCAAACGTAGTCCATCAGCTTACAGGCATCCAACTCGAAGCTACAAACAAAATATGAGCCTATTTGGATCATATAATTACTTGAATTAGTCAAAAAACTTGATTACGTACATACATCCTTTCACACATACAGTAGGTATATATGTGACCAACTGAGATCACCCTTATACTAGATTCAAAATTTTTCTCTGACAAAATTATAAAGCACTCCCATACACTGGTCCTGTATAAAAATCACCCAAAAATTGCACAACAACCACTTACAGTGAATTGTAATTCATCAGAGCAGGTAAGTGTATAAAGTGACAAATAAATTCAACCGATTCCCAAATACACACTTACCAGGCTGCACGACAACTACGAAAACAAACTTTCAAACTTCGCGGCTATAAGATTGGCTGCGTGTGAGAGGAGAGGAGGGAGACAAAAATACTTGCGACAGACACAGCATACACTTCCGAAGATTTGCCCGCCATGGGCTCGTCAGCAACGTAGTCCCGTCCCTGCCCTGCTTGCGTCCCGCTTCGCTAGTCTTTCTTCTCGCTTTTGTAGACTCTACACGGCGCAAGTGTACGAGGCTGGCGTAAAAGGTAGGTACACAGCACACGCAGCGACGCAGCCAGTGTCCAGTGCACAGTCTCTACCTGGTCTCTAGGTCTCTACGGATTTTCTTGTGTACTTACAACTGTTGTGAATCGTAAAAGCGGTAAGGGTAATTTTTGTTTTTCATCACCATATATATATGAAATCGAATAGGTGCTTCTAATGACCGGATCCTGATTGCGGATGTCCCTTGCTTTTTGCTTTAATCGAGCCTTTACACGTTACGTTGGTGATCGTTATTTTCGAAAGCCGGTGGGTAGCTTAGTAGATCACCTATACCGTGATTGTTGAAAAATGAAGGCCTCGTTAGGCATCCGTGGCTCCACGCCTACCCGAGACTCGAACCCTCTAGCTACGCGTATGTTTGACGATATTCTTGCCCATTAACAGTACTTGTATACCTATACTACGTGAATTTGTAACTCCAATATTTGAAGTTTGCTGGCTGCTATTTCGTTTATGTATGCAACATGTACTTCACGTTGTTTCATTATTATAATATTAAATACGTTGCACGGCCACAACTTTCTGTATTTAATTAGGTACTTATCGCGATTTTTCTCTCCTCCGTGTGACAAGTACCTACCTGCTATGTGGCACAATAAAACACAATCAAACTTTTTTTCGGAGCTCGTGTTTTTCACGTTTTTTTGGAAGCCAAAGAGATAAAGAAAAATTTTGGATGTTCTTCACTATTTGATTTGTTGCTCTGATAAGCGAGGAAGATCAGCAGAGCTTTGTTTAAATATGATGACTAACCGGATACCAAGTAGATGTACGACCATGTGTACCTGTTATTTATTAAAGGCGGAGTCAGACCGGCTTATTGTATTTAGAGGTTATGTCACGGTGATGAAAGATGATTCAAAGGCCAAATGTTGCAGTTAATTACGTAGAATGGTACAGGTACCTAAGTACTTCATATCTCTAGGTTTTCATTATAGTCTTATTCATAACCTACTGTTACTAAAATGTCAATGCATACCCACTTGTGTGATTTCACACTAATAGTACTTGTGTTTAGATACTCATGCTTCCGTATCCCTTTTCTTGTTGAGACTGCATTTTTTTCAATTGATGAGCCAGAAAAATATCGTTACATTTCAAATTATCTGTTAAGTTAAAAATATTTCACTAACACTTTATAATTACACATTTACTTCAAAAATTCAGGTGCAATTGATTGTATTACGAGTAGAGAGCATTGTAATTTTGTGTATGATTTTGTGGAAATTTCTAGACACCACGTATACTATCAGAAGAATGGGAGATCTGCAGAACCAGGATGCCATAGCCGTGGCTCAGCTGGAGTTAGGGAATAATCCCAATGCCCTTGCCTTGCGTAGGCCTTTTGATCCAATGGCTCATGACCTGGACGCAACCTTCCGCTTGACGCGGTTTGCCGACTTAAAAGGATGAGGGTGTAAGGTCCCTCAGGAGATTCTTGGCAAACTCCTTGAGGGACTGCAGGCTGACGATGGTAGCGCCCAGGATCATGAGCATGGACACTTCATGCACATGGCCACACCTCGTATTGGTAAGCTTGCACGTGTTTTGTTTGATGTTGTTCATGGATTAATGTATTGTTGTTCATAAACTAAATTTTTTCTGTGCACTTTCAGGCATAGGCATGGATTCCTCTGTGACTCCACTGAGACACGGTGGCCTCAGTTTGGTTCAAACAACAGACTTTTTCTATCCACTCGTCGATGACCCTTACATGATGGGTAGGTCAAACTAAATCGATACTCAACTCATTGTTTAGTGAGTTTGATTTTCAATCAATTTTTTTTTTTTCTAATTTCTACAGGTAAAATTGCTTGTGCCAATGTGCTCAGTGATTTATATGCAATGGGAGTAACGGAGTGCGATAACATGCTGATGCTGCTAGGAGTGAGTACAAAAATGACTGAAAAAGAGAGAGATGTCGTAGTGCCTCTGATCATGCGAGGATTCAAAGATTCTGCACTCGAAGCTGGGACTACTGTGACTGGTGGTCAGACTGTTGTCAATCCGTGGTGTACTATCGGTGGCGTTGCCACGACGGTCTGCCAAGCAAATGAATACATAGTGTAAGTTTTTCTATGTTTCTGATCGCCCAAGTTTTGGATTATTTACTGTTTTTTAATTATTTTTCAGTCCAGACTTGGCGGTCATGGGTGACGTGCTGGTCCTGACAAAGCCTTTGGGTACTCAAGTAGCAGTTAATGCACATCAGTGGCTTGATCAGCCAGATCGTTGGAATCGAATTAAGTTAGTCGTTAGTGAAGATGACGTACGGAAAGCTTATCAACGTACAATGGACAGCATGGCAAGACTCAACCGAATAGGTAAGTAGCTTTTTAGTGGTTCAATAATAAATTTAAAAAATTGTTGAAATACGTCACTCCGTTTATTCGTAGCTGCACGACTAATGCATAAGTATAATGCTCACGGGGCCACGGACGTCACTGGTTTTGGTCTTTTGGGTCATGCTCAGACGTTAGCGAAACATCAAAAAAACGAAGTATCGTTTGTTATTCACAATTTACCAGTTATTTCTAAGATGGCTGCAGTAGCCAAGGCCTGTGGCAACATGTTCCAGCTTTTGCAGGGGCACTCCGCTGAAACCAGTGGTGGACTTCTCATTTGCTTACCAAGAGAACAAGTATGTAGATTCAATCTTCGTTGTGTTAATGTGAATCTTATGTATCTAAATATGTTGTATGTATCAGGCTGCTGCATATTGCAAGGACATCGAAAAGCAAGAAGGTTACCAGGCTTGGATTATAGGAATTGTGGAGAAAGGAAATCGTACAGCTCGAATAATTGACAAACCACGAGTCATAGAAGTGCCATCAAAAGAGAAGGATGGCGAGCTATGGTAATAAAAATGGAAGAAAAGACCGCAGGACCTTTTCTAATTTAAAGAGAAAAGAGGAAATTGTACCTTTTTGTTTCTATCAGTTGAAAGTTTGATATTTATCATGCCTTTTTACACAGATGATCATTGTCTGATTTTTTTAGAACATTTTATTTTTTATTTGAACTTGTAAAAGAAAAAAGGCAATGTTACTTTTTTTTATAAATTAGTTTCCTGAATTTTTTTACAAGTTGCTTTATTTGTTATGATTTTACTTGAGTGAGTTATGTGAAGTTTGAGACATGTGTGACCATAAAAATTCTGACTCAATCATACGCACATGTATGTAAATTGAAAAAAATCATGTACGAAAGCTCAATAATTGAATAAGAACAATGTCATCTATTTTTGGGTATAACAATAAACTTAAAACCTTGAAATACACAGAAATTACAAATTTTTCTTGATTTTACCATAGCATGCATCAGAAACCTAAATTTACTGCTAATCAGTATTTCAATCCTTATCACTACTGTTGATTTTGTATTAACGATGAGGTTGCACAATGCATTAGTTTTTCACTTGAATAAAGCTACCTTGTCGACAACAATATGTACCATTTTAGTTACGGTTTCTAAAACATCGCATATGTTGAATTCTTTTTAAAAATATTTAATCATAAAGCCACTAGTTTGTTAGTATATATCAGTGCCCTCCGGTGAATTTGGAAATTCAAAGTGATCAGTGATCCGTTGGGGGCGAAATGTGAGAAAATAAATAAATACAAGTAAAGTGTATTTAAATTTTCTTGCGTTGATTTATTAATGCGCAACGTTTCGCTGACAATATGCGTCAGCGGCTGACGGACTTGATTGATTGTCAGTCGATAGCACAACAGGTGACGAGTAAGTCAACCAAACTTACGAATTCTCGCGTACCTGTGCCTGATGAGGCTGACGCATATTGTCAGCGAAACGTTGCGCATTAATAAATCAACGCAAGAAAATTTAAATACACTTTACTTGTATTTATTTATTTTCTCACATTTCGCCCCTAACGGATCACTGATCACTTTGAATTTCCATAAAGCCACTAGTGTACATTCCCCATTAAAAAAGTTTAGTTTTCGGTATATTACGTATTTTTACCACTAAGTAGCTCAGCTTAATATAGAGCTGGGCAAAGACTATCACTGTTTGAATTGCCTGACGAAGACTAATACCATTCAAGGCTTTTTACGAAAAAAATGTAATTAGTAATATTCACTAGTTTCGAATAAAGTATTATCAATGACGTCAATTTGAGAAAAAATTGTTTAATTATCATGTAACTTTTACTCATTTAATCAAATTCTTGTAAGACTCGTAATAATCATTGTATGCTTCTGTATTCTATATTGAATAGTGCAACGTATTTTCCCTTGCTACGTAAACAATAGGATCATGCATTTCAAATAAAAATTGTGGTACTACAGCGTGCCGCTCTTACCATCGTGTTAAAAGGATCTTCACGCTCAAGTTGATGTTATACATCTAATTTACTGCTGTTTTTGCTCTACAAAAGTAAAAATAGAACTCTATATCGTTATTTAATTTAATATTAACGATTTTCGAAAAGTTTTTTTTTTAGAGTTGTATAATTTGCACAGCGTAAAAAAAAGAACCTTATATTACAACTTAGTAATTTAAAAAAAATTTGGTAAACAACGATATTTTTCATAAAACTTCTACTTAAAAAAAGTAGTCTTTCCATAGCTCTTATCAAATATTAATAATAGTAGCGAGTTCTTTGTTGAGAGAATCACGATTAATTTTATGTTTAGCATGTGGGGAAAAGGAACATTTTGATACAGTTTCAAATTATCTATTTCATACGTGCATTATAGAATTTTAGGTAGTACAAAGTTTTAAACTTTGTTAATTAAACAGCGATGGAGTTTTAATTATTAATTTTACAGTAATTGTGATTGTCACACATTATAATCCTACTTTGTTGAAAATTAAAAGGAATAATTTAAATTAAAATGGATTTTGGAATATAGCAGTTATGTCCGGATCAAAAGTTTTCACAGTTTTTATGTATAAGTACTCCAAGTAACAAAAAGTTATTTAAATAATTACTGTTAACAATGGTGCATAAGAATTTTCTATTTTTTACGTTACCATGTCCAAAAGTCATATTTAACTAGCCGATATACATGAACAGCAGCTAAACGAGTGAATTACGAACGAAAAGGCCATAGACACCCCTGGCCCCTAAACTATTAAATCGTTTGACAAATATATGAATCTTTTTAATGAGCAGACATTTTTTGTTTAACGAATATTGTAACTTGTGGTTATTTACTATAAAACAGTGATCAGAGCTGACATTGATTTTTTTTTTTTTTTTTTTATTTTTTTTTTTTTTNAAAAAAAAAAAAAAAAAAAAAAAAAAAAAAAAAAAAAAAAAGAAAACACATTTTTTCATTTAAATTTGAAAAAGTTAGAATTTTTAATGAATTTGTGGTACACGTTTTCGATCAGACTAAAATTTTTTGAGTTTTTATCAGCGTTATAATAAAGTTTAAACATTTGAAGTAAGTAATTAGAAATATTTAGAATGCCGTGCCAAGAAACTGCCTCGTAAAATGCTTTTTATTTTTCTTAATTATTGGTATAATTTACAAATGCATGGATCATTATAAAAATTTCTATTTAAAGTAAATATTAAAGTGAATAATGAATTTTTTCAGTAAGAACTCAGACTTACAAAAGTTGAAGGTTTGGTGGATTAGCTTACATGCCGGTATATAGTATTCAGCTGCACTATATATGTACAGTAGTATTTCGTCTGCTTCATTGCTGTTAGCCCGTTGCAATGTTGCATGATTAGACCTGTTCGATTTTGGTAAATAGTATGGCGGTGGCTGGCCATTTAGCCAATCGAAAATGCGGACTCTTATTTCGATCACTCTTGGAATAACTGCACGTGAGAGGTCTTTGGAAACGGGGAGTCGTAGAAGTTGCGTAAACTCTCTGTGTATAGAACATGTAGTACAACAGAGGCCTGCAAGAGATAGCTGCAGACTGCAGAGGCACTGCACCAGGCCTCTTTGAGGCAAAACCATTTATTTACTGATTTTACGTAATAATAATAATACTAATGAAGCTTTTAGAACTGTTGATCTCAGATTTTTTTCGATAAGCAAGAATGTGCTCGTTAATATTGAGTAAGTCAATGAATTTCTTGGTTCAGTGTATTTGAATGTTGATTTTTCACCTTTTTTGCCTGATGCTTAACCTAGAAATGTACATAGATGCAAAGTTTACGTTCTGTTATTTGCTGACTTAGATTAGTGGAACATGTGTTTGCTTTATATTTTTGCCTCAAAAAAAATCACTGTTTTCTTTATTCATACAACGTTTATAAAAATTACTTTTCAAACATTTAAATACAAGCCTTTTTTTATCGACGTGTACCAATGTAAATAATCCAATAAAATTTGTCGTAGCAATATTTACATTTTGCTTTTGCAGATACTGATTGACAAGTAGTTCTGTCGGTTCTTGCTAGTCAAGTGTATAACTTTGCTTAAAAATAAATACTTAAACTTCGGATGCTTACTATTAAGTATAATTACTTATAATTGAAAATTTGTAAAAAAATTCATAGTTAATCTTCGCTGTATTTAGTTACTTACAGTTTGAACCGAAGGTCAAACAACTCTTGCTTACCAAGAAAAGATTACATAAAAATGAAACCTCAAACTGCAGAATAACGTATGTAAAAAAATTTTTTTTCAAGTTGGAGAATTTTGTACATTTTATTGTTAAAAAATACCTCGAATTTATGTCCACAAAATTGTAAGCCCTAATGTTAAGCAAAAAACGTTGGAGAAATAATTTAGTAAGGATCGTCGTACTGCAGCACATATATTAGCCAATTTAGCACAATATAAAACATTTTTATTCATTATTTTTTTTACAGAACTGAACGATAGTTTCAGCTTAATCTGCGTATAATATGGGAAAATACGCATTTTATAAGCTCTGTAATTCACGTATAAAAACGGAAATGTTTATAACTTGTTTCCCAGATAAGGGTACCTCCTGGAAGCCAGCCCGCAAATTATCGATTTGTGCAAAAAAAAAAAAAAAAATACTAGGCGACGTGTTTTTATCTGCACATTTCGTTTATGCAAATAATTAGAACTTCACATGCCTCACTTTTGTATAAAAAATTAAAGAAGTTAGTCGATTCGCAGGCCGTAGTTGGATCGCAATATCTCTCTTATTAGAGCGTATTTCCAACTGCACAGGGGCTTAAAAAACTGCACATTGTCTAAACTTAATTGCACAGTCAACATTTCTATCTGCACACTCTTGGTTAATTAATAAATAAATAAAATCTCTTCATAACGCCTACGGGTGATATGCAGCTAGTGTAGTAAGTAAACACATGCCGCTATCCTAGCTCTTCAAAATTTTAGCCAAATTATGTTTAGGTTAAAATCTAATAAAGTTTCACCGATATCTAAACCGTAATTAAGATACCAATAGTATTATATCAAGCTTATTTATTTATTATTCCCATTTAATCGATTATTCTAACTGAAAAGCAAATTTTTTTCCCTGATGAAGTAACTAAAGAATAATAACTAATAACAGTTTATAAAGCCCAGATTCGAGACTATGATAATGTTTAATAAGTGTTTTTATCCGTTATTGTTTTTTAATATTTTTATTATTTTTTTTGTCATAAATGTCATAAAAAAATATAAAAAATTAGTAACTAGAAATAATTTTTATGGTTAATCATCGCTATCTAATACTTGACTTTTTAGATTCATTAAAAACTAATAGCTATAAATAATTGTTAATAATACATCATTTTTATTGTTTCATACTTTATATTAGATAGAAAAAAAAATTAAATTAATAATGTTTATGGGCATGGTTGTATCGTAAGATCTCACGAACAAAAAAACAAAAAAAACTATTAAAAGGATTAAAAAGTTTTAATATTAACTTGTGATGGACAATAGTGAAAAATAAGTTTTATTACTTGTCTCAAATTTAGACATTAAAAACTGTTAATTTTATTTTCTACTCATTTAAAAAAATAATTATTACCAACTTATCAAACAAAATTATTTCTCTTTGGAAATACATGTTATAATTGTTAATTTATTTGACAAATTGTATTTACAGACTGTAAATTACTGTTTCTTTATTTATTTTTGAACAACATGTTGAATACTATACAAGAATTTTCATTGACGTATTGTTGAGTTAAATAAGTGTATGCTTACATTAAAAAAAAAAAGAAAAAAAGAAATGAAGTGCTTTTGAAAAAATTGAATTAAGTACAAATCATTAACGTGAAATATACTTGTAAAAAAATAATTTTTTAATGTATACATACTTTTTATTTGTGGAGAAAGAGGTTTACATACTTGACAAAATTAATTCCGTCTAAAGCAACTCCGGGCATCGTAGTTTGAACATCAATTTTCTGAGTAATACGACGATTAATTTGAATCAATGGATAAGTCTGACATACGTTATGTGACATGACATAAAAGTCAATTTAACACGTCGATTATTATGCTACATGTCTATTTAAAAGAAATATATCAATAATGTTTTATTTTTTAATGTACTAAGATAAATATTATGTAATGAGCGCAATAAGCAGAGACTTATAGGTGCATAAGTGTGCAAATAAAAACTGCACTAGAACTTTATGATTTAAAAAAAGATACGTTTATTTCTACTATAATCAAAAAAATATAATCTTGATAAGTAAAACTCAAACAAAATGTTTAAGAGCATGAACCTGATAGTGTGTACAAACTGACGATTTGCGCGGGAATGAACTAGAGTCGCACATTTATCATGCGGCAGTACAGCGCCACTAGATCTTAATTCCGTATTATTGCGCAAGCAATTAAATTCAGCTACGACTGCCAAATACATATCTTACACTCCTTCACGTTAGTGTTTGAATTTAGATTATGAGATTGATTGTGCTGAAAGTTAAATATAAAATAGTTTAAGAAGTTTTTAAAATGCAGATTGGATATGGCAAAATGCTTTGTTAATTATTAATTATTATCATTAGTTTTGTTAAAATTACCTCTACAAGTCTTAACGCGGTCCCTGATGTTCTATATCAAGCTCTGGCAGGTGTAGCATCTGTGAAGATTTTGCTCCTCCTCGTCCTTTGAGGTATGGCCTGTGTCATTGCATTTACAAAATTGAATGATAGCAGAGGCTGAATTTGCTGCTGCAACTCGAGTGGTGTGGCGTGGTCCTGCCCCACCTCGGTTCGCTCCGATATTTACTGTTGGTTGCAGGAGTGACCCATCAGCCTCCTGCTTCGGAATATTTTCACGTGAATATTTATAAGACAAGCTATTCTCGCTTGCAAGCAATTTATTAAATTATGCAATTTTTATGTCTGGCACTCCATTGATAATCACATGATAAAAACTATCTCTTTTTTCATTCCCAGGAAAGCTATGTGTTTCACATTAACAAGTTTAAAATCTCTTATTAGTCTATCGAAAAATTCGTGGAGTTTGATAGCACTTTGCTTTTTAGGGTCAAATCCGTGTGAATTTTCTTGCGTATTAAATACGCGTTTAACTTTATATCACTTCGTTTGATTTAAAATTTTTTTTGTACCATTGCTGTGGGTTCAGTAATGTGACATACTCTGTTTTTGTAAACTAAGAACAATCTAAATAGTATTAAGTTTTATGCCTGCTCTTTATCTTCCTCCATCTTTTTTTGGGTAATTAGATTATATTCTAACTTTGGATCAATCGTGTGCAGTCATTTTTTACACTTCAATTCTAATTGCAGTTGTCTTAAAAATAATTCTACCTTAGTTTGATGAGTGAGGGAGTAATTAAAATACCATGAACTATTTTTGTTAAAAGAATTTTGTTTGGACTCAGAAGCACTTGATGTTCCATGCTCAACTATTAACGAGTTATCAATGAAGTCAAAGTTTGCAATTAATTCTTTGTTTACGTGCTTTAGGTACAGTGGTAGAGGTAGTAAATTTATTTACCTCGTGTAGATGACTCCTAGCCAAATCACGCATTAGTCTCCATTTTCTTCTGTTGAGTATCTTTTTTGTCTTTCAAATTTTTAAATTTTCTATTTTTAGTTGAGGTATCAATTAAATCTATCTTTCTATCTTTCAAACATTTTAATTTTCTATCTTCGGTTGAGGTGTAAATCGAATATATCTTTCTATTTAAAGGGCCTTTCCTTGGAATGCGTTGTTTTATAGGAGTAAGTCGAATTATTCCACCACTGTTTTCTATTAAATTAACCAAGTCCAACATTTCCTGGCTGTAGTATACGTCTCCTCCTAAAATAACCCAGACCAAGTTAACAAAAAAAGTTTTCTTAACAATCAATCAAAGATACGCTGTGTTTCAGGAAAAACATAAGTAGAGCGCACATAATCGCAATGAATGCGTGCCACTCATGGGATGAGATATGTTGGACAACCTGAGCAGGCGAACGCAACATGTCTAAGGCTGTCCACCACAACAGCATAATTCCCACACATTTGGACAAAAATTTTGAACATCTCGTCAAGTTTCTTTAAATCATATTCTATCTTTTAATAAGCATCTGATAACATATTAAGGAAATTTTAACCTAAAAGGTACAGGAAAAAAATAAAAATAACTCTACTTTTGTGTCCACTTGTGTGTGAAGGCACCAGATTCTATATGGGGTTAATAGAGAAAACAAGCGTGAATATTTGTCCGAAGGAATATGGTATTCGTGTCGCGTGTGAAAGGCACAAAAAGATGACCAACTATCAAAAATTTGCTGTTCCATGTGTGCCACCAGCTACAATGTGGCCTGGCCGAATTCAAGCCGTGACCGTACAGCGTGCGCCTCCCCTCTCGGTGATGTGCGACTGCAGCAGCAACATATGTCTCTTTCCCTGCCTCAATGTCTGCCTATCCCATGCGGAAACAAGCACGTTCCTGATCTCGAATTCCACGAACTCCTAAACAAAAGAAGACCATTAGACAAAAAGAATCTTTGTCATGCAATTTTAAGCAAACTATCTTTATTGTACCATCTTTAATTAAAATAATATAAACCACCTTTAGTATGTTATCTTTTATAACGTTCGTATAATAAATTAGAAATTAACACAATGAACAGGAGTAAAAAATATTAGAGGTAACAATATGAAAAGTGAAGATAAGTTTAAAATCAACGTAGCACTTACTACTACTCATCATCTTATTAATGACAATCTTTTTGGTTGTACCACCCAAAGCTTCTAGCCTCCGTCGATCCAGACTCGGCTATCACACCTTCCTGAGTTGCAGACTGTTCCGCCAATTCATGAGTTAGATTGTCGATCTTTTTAGGAGTCTGCACCAGCAGGATCACTTTTCTTGAGCTCATATCAGTCGTCACCCTGCAGAGAATTTCCGGTTGCTTCCTTTTCTGCCATCGCAGCCACGGACAAGTTGAAAAAGAGGACGGAGAGAGAGAAGAGAAAAACACGAGAGGAGCTCGATCACAGAAAATGGCGGCTAAACGTTCTCGAACACACTCTTCCACATCACATTAACCACGGCCCATAACCTATTAGTGTTATAAATTTATTAGTGTATAGGTGCTCACATAAGAAACTACACTATCTTTGGGATGAACTATCTTTAGCTATTTTTTAATGAAGTATAGATAATCTTAATAAGTGGAACTGAAACAAACCTTTAAAAAGCACGAATATGAGAGTGATGTGTATAAACTGAAGGAAGGGAATGATACGGCATACGGCAATAGTGAGCAATTGAGCATATACGGCAGTGCCATGCAGCGGCCGCTACTAGGTCTGAATTCTGTATTACTGCGCATGCAATCAAATTCAGTTACGAGCGCCAAATACGTATCTCACAATACAGTATAGTGACAAGAGAAATTGGTACTATAGAAAAAAATGGTTCAATTCAAACAAACCTTATTATAAACCTTAAAGTGAATTTACTTAAAGTAAATAAATTTAACTCATTTTAATTCACATATTTATTTTGAGTGCCGAACACATTATTGTTAATTATAAACAAATAAACGACATTTTCATGATACAAGCATGTTCGTTCAAAGCATATAGTGATAACTATAAATGTTTGGATCATTTCACAAAAAATCTATACTTTGATGTATGAAACAGAATTTGAAAAACTTAATATTTCGTATTTTTTTAAATTATTTTTTTGGAGTTCTGAATATGATGGATACTTTTAGATCCAAATCAATAGCAATTTTAGAAAATCCATATTCAGGTTTCAAAAGCATGTTACAGAGATGATACTTTAGAATTATTTGTTTATAGAGACAAAAGCCGTATGTTTATGACGATACTGCAACTATACAGCTACATTCAAATTTTGCGTTTCAATTCGACGATGCACAAAACGGTCCAGAATACAAAACGTTCTTATTCAAGGGCCCAAAAGTTAACACTTTATTTTATGAAATTGTCTTGTCAACAAATTTTAGTTCATCTCAGACTTTCTGATAATATAGCATCCCGCGTAGAAATTTTTACGTTTGGCCAAACGTTGGCTAAATATAGGCAATGAGACAATCCCAAACTTGGATTTTTGCTGAAATTTTTTACTTAAGTTTAGCCAATGTCCATCCAAACTTCTTAAAAAATTAATTCAACACTCTAATACATAAGTAGACTGCATATAAGACACATCGATAAAATCGTGCAGGAGATATATGGTCTCGAACCTCGGCCACCGAGATTTAGCGTGCGACACGAGCACGCTTATCCATTCGGCTATTACGAGATGGCAGTGTGGCACAAGATAGAACACGAATCGTCTACATATTGTACCAATACTATAATTTTTTTTATGTCATGTTATTAAACTGACTTTACAATTTTTCTAAAAAATTTTTTATGTGAATTTATTCAGTTACAATTAATTTTATGTGAAACAATAAAAGTACACCTAAAATTGGCAGATTTAACATGATTAAAACGTTTATTCTCGATCATATGCTTGACAAAATACACTAAGAAAATATTTTTTCCGACCTCGGGTGGTTTTAGGAGGCTGGTACTTCCTTGGGCAAAAAAGCAGTTTTCCGATACTCGTTCGAAAAGTCTCCTTTACGAACCTCGTTACGGACCTCGCCTTCGGCTCGGGCCGCAAACCTCTCGGTTCGCAAACA